TGCAGTACGCATGCAACTAAGAGCATATTGCTAAAGTAAAGTAACATTAAAATTTATGGGCTTTTAAAAAGCAAGCATAACTTGTATAACAAAAATATAGCCCATCAATATCATCACCATAATAAGCGAATTTATACTTAATATTCATTTTTTGAAATATCTTTTGAGACTATTAAAATTATTGTGCGTGTGCTCATGTAATCTAAATTGAGCATTTTTGCATAATTTATTGCATTTTTAAAAAAAACTACTTTAGACAAAAATTTCTAGATACATTGTATAAAGACAAAGAAACAAAGAAATGAACATGATTTATTTCACACAGCTCAATATAATAAAAATAAAGATAAAAGGTTTTCGCATTGAAAGTATACACCGGTACAATTGTAACATTATTTTATTCGGGTCATCGGATTTCACATACGTTTTGTCAATACTGGTACAATATAGTTTCATTTCAACCGTCATTTCTTATAAAGGAATCATATTGTTTTTGCTTATGGGTGGATTAATTGACTTCAAATAGTTATAATGGAAATGTTTGGGTGTTGATACATTTATAAATGCACAAGAATGTATCTCATACCTATCATAACTCTTGACGTTTTTATATAAATAAATGATGTCATAACACGTGTACTATGTAGCCAAAGTTAAAGTTTTTTAATAACATTTTTTTATATAGACCATCTCCTTATATTTCATATAACTGATGCATTTTAAACCATTTGTATAAATCTTTTATCAGCAAAAAGTTTTGTATCTTACAATTTCATTGGGTCGAAAAATAGATCAAAAACAATTTCATTGCAGCTACGCAGATATATAAACCTAATGTTATTGAAGCCAGACACGCTAAAATATTGAAATTTATTCATGTTTAAATATCTTAATTATTTTCCTTGAGCCACGCCTTTACAAAGCATCGGTCCTCCTTTGTGTAACAGCATTGGTGGCCATACAACATAGTCAACCAGTTTGCCAGTTTTTGTGTATGTCCTGAATTTGTCGACATCAAAAGATTTCCCATCCACGTCAGATGTATCAAAAATGACAGGTGGATTCTGTGAATTCATCAGCCAACAGATTTCAACACACTTCTTGATAAACTTCTCTGTGTACTTCTTTTTCGTAAAATTCAATTTCTTTTCGCCTACGTAATTCTGTCAACGAAAGATACAACACGTAAACAGATTAAAATGTATGTGAAATAAGTAAAGAGTGATGGATTGACATTAAACGGAAAAAGATTCGGACATGTTGTAAATTTTTAAAGTTGTCTTATTTAGTGTAGACAAAGTATAACTACGATGCTATTAAAATATTACCTGAAAAACACTTTCAATAAGCATTGGGGCGAAACTCTTTCTAACTTCCTTTAGCTGATGTTGGTTGATAGCACCAATCTGACAAAAACAATTTTAAAACTAATATGAACGAAAGTACAAGAAGAATATGTAGTCAATGCTCTTGTAAGTAACATCCTATAATGATGTTCACTGAATCATGTTAATAGAATATCGCTCGTTTCTAATATTTTTCATGGATTTTTTTTATTTTTACATACAAATACATTCTAACCTTGACAGTACTGTTTGAATTCCAGCAATTTTAAATTACTCTGTTATTAATAAAGAAATGACAAAATACGCTTGATTATATATGTATATCCTATGAATAACATGATAGTCAAAACAAATCAAGGCAAATCATGTTCGAGTCATGATGCACAGACGACTTTGCTTTTTCAGGTCTAAGTCTATATTATTCAAATTCGACGGGTTTATCATTAAGACTGAGCACTTTTACATTGATTTATTGAGCACTTTTACATTGATTTATTGAGCACTTTTACTTGATTTATTTTGTAAAATGTACTTAAAGATATACAAATACCTCATTTAAACATTCTTTACTATAATACTCTTATTTTGAGATTTAAATTTACTACAAGTTATAACAGGTAGGAATCGCTTCTTACATTGAATAACGACTGTAAGTTTTAATTAAATGTATGCAAATGTATGCAAAACAAGAGCCATGTCAACATGGCCATCCCCCGCCGAATGTGTTTGCTCATTGCAATTGGAAGAATGTATATGTAGTACAGCAGAATAATTCCATTTTAAGAGGTCTTTTGGTAATGAAAACTGATGGCTATAGTGATTACAGATTTGAAACCTATGTGAATACTGATGGCTGAAAATAACAAAGGGCAATAACTGAAAAATAATGCAGGGTAGGTTATCATTCTTGTGTGCTGCATCCCTCCTCAGTAAAATCTATCCACCTATGAAGTTTCAAGTTGATACCTCAATACTTTTTGAGAAAAAAATTGAATTGAAAAATTAAGTATGAAAAATAACAAAGGGCAATAACTCAAAAATTGTAAAAGGTAGAGTTATCATTCTTGTGCACTGCACACCTCCTGAGTTAGATCTATGCACCTATGAAGTTTCATAATGATATCTCAAAGGCCTTTTGAGTTATGCTCTGGACAAAAATTAATTTTGAAAAATAAAAAAAGGGCAATAACTAAACAATTATGCAAGGTAGAGTTATCATTCTTGTGCACTGCACTCTTCCTCAATGAGATCCATCCACCTATGAAGTTTCAAGTTGATACCTCAAATACTTTTTGAGATAAGCTCCGGACAAAATAGTATGAAAAAGAACAAAGGGCAATAACTCAAAAATTGTACAGGGAAGAGTTATCATTCTTGTGCACAGCATTCCTCCTCAATAAAATCTATCCACCTATGACATTTCATGTTGATATGTCAAACACTTGTGAGTTATGCTCCACTCGGGTGAAAAATTAGGTATGAAAAATAACAAAGGGCAATAACTCTAAAATTATGATAGGAAGAGTTATCATTCTTGTGCACTGCACACCTCCTGAGTGAGATCTATGCACCTATGAAGTTTCATTTTGATATCTCAAAGGCGATTTGAGTTATGCTCTGGACAAAAATTAATTTTGAAAAATAACAAAGGGCAATAACTCAATAATTATGCAGGGTAGAGTTAGCATTCGTGTGCACTGCACTCCTCCTCAATGAGATCCATCCACCTATGAAGTTTCAAGTTGATACCTCAAATACTTTTTGAGATAAGCTCTGGAAAAAATAGCATGAAAAAGAACAAACGGCAATAACTCAAAAATTGTATAGGGAAGAGTTATCATTCTTGTGCACAACATTCCTCCTCAATAAGATCTATCCACCTATGACATTTCATGTTGATATGTCAAACACTTTTTAAGTTACGCTCCACTCAAAAGTTGAAGTTGAATGTTGATATCTCATAGGCTTTTGGAGTTATGCTCTGGACAAAAATCAATTTTGAAAAATAACAAAGGGCAATAACTCAAAAATTATGCAAGGTAGAGTTATCATTCTTGTGCACTGCACTCCTCCTCAATGAGGTCTATCAACCTATGAAGTTTCAAGTTGATTACTCAAATACTTTTAGAGATATGCTCCGGACAAAAATGTCGGACAGAAGGTCGGACGGGCGGACGGAGACTATTTCTATATCCCCCGCCGCCTTTTCGGCGGGGGATAATTAACGCATATGCATTCGCCATTCTGAAGGAAAATCATATTGCTAAAACAATATGTTGACACTTTATAACTATATCAATACAATGTTTGGTCGGTACAACAATTTTAATTCAAGATGGAAAAAGGTCAAGGTAATAAGTTACATTGAAAATTACACAATTTTCAGTGAAGTTCATTTAGCCAGATATTTATACATATCAGTATTAAAATAAGTTTAAAATCCTCAAAGTGATAAAAGCAATGATTTAAACAAGCAAAGCCGATATTTATTCGGCATAGACATCAATAATCTGCAATTACCTTAGCCGATTTGGGTCTCGCACTTGGCAAATTCGGTAGTGTCATAATACTGTTAATTACGAATGTTTTCTTCATGTTCCGCAGATTACTTCTTACAAAATTCAGAAACATCTTGAAAATCATGAAAAATAGCAACTTTGAAATAATCTGCAAGTGTAGGGTGTTTCAGTCGTGTATATATATATACATTGCTGTCTAATCAAAGGAAAATAACCCTTGTAAAAAAGATATACTTGACTTTTTGACAAGTTTCCCTTTAACATGATGACTTTCCTCAAAATCTTTCCGAAATAAATGTGGCAATTATGATTGAAGGGAAACAATTCCTTTTAGGTAGATTGATATTAAGTACATTATTATTCTCCCTTGAACTGCATTATCAATTCAGGTTATCGATTTTTGAACGTTTTGTATTTTATATGTGCTCATTTTCAGTGTCTTTCTTAATGATATTAAATTATATAACTATGAAATGTGTGTGTATATTTAATGTGTATCTTATACTCACCACCGACTGCCCTTATGGGCGAGTCCGCCAGAAGAGTGTTAACTAGTTATTTTAGATTTTTGGAGATAGTGCAAGATGCAGATATAGAAAGATACCTCAATTCCAGAAGTTTCTCCTGGTTCTTTAGCGTGCCAAGTATGTCAGTGGACACTAAAATATCACAGATATACACAGGACTCGACACTTTGCTGGACCTACCATAACCAAATCTGTGAGCTATTTTATCAGCTTTAATAGTGTCACGGTATATGTACCTCCACATACATGTATATATTGACACGTGTTGTAAACTTAAGACACGATGCTATAATGATAAATGATATAACTGTTTTACCAGAATTCACTTCATAGAGTTAAAAGTATTCGAATCATGAATAGAAAGACCAAACAAACTTCATGGAACGATAAGCTTACTTATAATGAAGTTGGGTCAAAGAATAAACTTTACACACAGTAAGGATAAAACTCGGAATATATCACGTGCAGTAACAGTTTCTATGTCAAATGTCACGTCGGTGGCGGCGTGGCCGAGTGGTGAACGCGTCGGACTAGTAATCTAAGGATTGCTGACCGTGTGGGTTCAAACCCTGTCAGGGGCAAGCCGTTGTTTCCTTGAGCAAGAAACTTTACATTCATTGCTTAGTACTGGTTGGTTCCAGGAACGGATTCGAGAGTGTTTCAATAAGCTTATAGCTTCCAACATAATCGAACTAAAATAAATTTGTATAAACCAAATGTCACGTCATATATGATGGGTAAATGAAAAGAAAGACCAGTAATTAAAATGTTATGGAACTATACTGGCTTACTAATAATGCATCCAGATCATAGAATAAATTGAACAGACAGTACTTTGAACACTCGGATCATGTCAAGTGTAGTAAAAATTACGTAACCAATGATTTACTTTTTATAACGCCATATGTGACGTCACATATATATGATGGCATAAACACCTCCACCCTGAATATATTATATTTATGCATTTAGTAAACTTGAATCACGGTTCATTCAAGATGTTAGTGTTTACCCATGGTATGACGTCACATATGGTATAAAAATACACCATTGGTTGCGAAATTGTTACCGCAGGTGATACAAGTAGAGACTTTGATGCTAAAGCATCAAGTCGCCGGATAGAAAAATGATTATATTATCATAAATTGAGCCGTGACATGACATTTCCAACATAGTGGTCAAATTTGACATTTTACTTTTTTCAAAGATTCTCAAAATGCAATCTTTTCTAAATCATTCAAGACAAATTTTATTATCTTTAGACAAAGAAAACTTGATTTATAACGCTTTTTAACATTATAAGTGACGTCGTTTTATTTGACGGATTAAAAATGCAACGTGAATAAACTGAATCATCGTTTTGCTTGACATATACTCCTATATACATGTATCTTAGCATGTAAATTATTAACGTTACTAACGACGAAGCTCACATTTTTATTGTTAAAGAGTACCGTGTCAATTGTAAGCCATCTTAAGTACATGTAACGACTTGTTGCACGAATAGACATATACAAGTATATGGAAAGCCTTGACTGTCTTATTATTATAAACCTGAACGTTGTTATGTCCAACTAGCAATATATTGAGTCAACCTTTCCTTATACAATGTGCACTCATTAATATATTATGTGGATCCATCTTTATATGTAGTCAACTGAACAATATTTGATGTCAATGTGTCTTTATATGATGTCAATATATCATTATACGTTGTGCATTTTTGAATATAGTATGTGGAACCATTCTTATATAAGGTCAAAATACTCAGGTAATGAATGTGCACAGAAATAACAAATTTATGTTTCAAAAAATTGCAGGAATAAATAAAAAATGAGATATCACTTTTTGAATACATTCAAGAATCATCTTATTTCCAAGACATGATATAAACATACAATTTAAATACTGCGTAACTGTGATATCATATCCTCAAAGCAGCACGCTCAAGAGTTTTGTTCTAATTTTCATGAAAATTTTAGATATATGAAAAATAGCCCTTGCTGTGTTAGTAACGCAGTAAAAATATGTGAAAAAAATCTGAATGCTCAGTCAAGCTTTGGTAATATTCGTCTTCTTTACGAGAAATTGTTCTGGAATAATGGTCGACACAAGGTCATCTGATAGGTTCTAGGACGGCGTTATTACCGTGAATAGTCATAAACGTTTTACTCAAAAATGTGCGTACATGTAAATAGAGGATATTTAGTTGTTCTGTAAAAATGCTATGTTATATCACACAAAGAAGTAAGAGAATTATTTTTCACGAGTGCGTATGGACATGTTGATGGATTGTCACGTCGTTGTGTGATTATATAAATGTACATGTATACCATATTGAAAAAAAAAACAAGAACAAAAAGAAAAACAAAGCAATCAACAATATAATACAGTAGGGGCTATTTTACGTAGATTGTAAGTGTCGTTTGCAATATGTAAACTGCTTCCTTTGTTCACTTCACAATATTGTACTTTTAAATACATTTTCCGAATTGTTATGAAAATAAACATGGATCTTGAGGTATGCTGCCTTAACGATATCATAACATTATGTTTAATAATGAAATTTTAGATATCTCAATACTATGTTTTTCGGGGTCATTCAGCACGTAGCTGCAATTTACTGAAATTATCCGATTTAGTCTGAATCACTCAATTTTCATTCAGTTTTACCTGATTATCATCCATTTCCGGCTTCTTTCAACAATTTACGATGCCATATTCTCAGAGACCAAAACTGGTATTGCAATAATTATTATAAAACAAGACAAAATTATTTCGGTTTATTTTCTTCCCATTTAATTTTATATAAAGCAGGAATGTATTTCAACAACTTCAAGTGTCTTACTCACATTCACTTAACAGAACAATTGTCTCTTAATTATATACTCTTATTATTTTATGTCCGTTAAGTTAAACAATGATACCAACGTAATGTAATATCTTCCTTATTCTATTGACATTAAAGTGTTTATTCTGATTTATATAATGTATATCAGCCCCTACATGTTACTATATACATGTATATGATTAAAGAGAAATACTTGGAAAACAACTTGACATTGGAAATAAAATAACAATCGAAAGACTAAATGGGATTATTGTCTAATTACTTAAAGTAAGTAAGCCCTGAAAGTGTTCACTGTCGCAAGGACAATATATCAAGTGTCGTTTGAACAGATGAAATTAAATTTGTCAACTCATAAATTTCCTTGAAATTCTCTTTCTTATGGTACTTAAAATACGATTGAGCAAATGTCTGTCAAGGGTTAAAGGTTTCCCGAAAAAGTTTATCAGCGCAGTTGTTACTTAAAAAAATGAGTTTAACAGCGGAATAATGTCATCATTGCGGAGGAAAAAAATTACTTTAGTGCAGCTTTGAAAGAACAAGATACACAATACATTTATAGGGAAACTTACGGAATCATAACTTAATACGTAGGCCACAAAAAATCGGCAAAGCTATGTTAACAACACTATAAGTGATATACTCTGAATACTATGGGTTTTATATCACTAAATAGAAACCCAGACTTTCATTTATAAACATAAACTATTACAATGATTTGACAGAGTATTTCTTGCATATCAGACTGGTGTTTCCGTTAATTTTACCCATGCCGGATATTTCATCTGTCATGGGGGTGCCAGATGAGTCGCGTGCTATACAATGGCATGCTTTGGATGACGTTATTTCGCCGTTGTGAATGAAGTTGTAATTTCATACGCTACTGTACGAAAATAGTTACGGGTGTAAGGACATAAATTTCCAATCGGATTGGAATATCCGTCCTTCGGGAACCTGCCGATTGGCGAGTCCCCTGGGGACGGATATTAAGATCTGTACAGCTATAATTAATTTCAAGTAACAGTCCAAACAGTTGACAAAAAATATCTTATCGTTAAGCAACAGTAATTCCTAAACAGGTAGCTTAGTGGGCGAATTAAAGAGGTAGTACGTTCGATTCCTAATTTATTAAAACATATTTTAAACAATATCTCGATCTGTTCTTGATTATCCTTTTAAAACATCAATACGATAAAGAAAACAACAATGTTAAATTAAAATTATCAGGTTTTGCCATAAAAGCAGAACACAAAACCTTTAACTGATCAAATCATCCATTGCAATTGTTTATTATTCTCTGTATAGCCAAATGTATGGTAGAACAATAAAACTCAAAATATGTGTACTTCAGACATGAAATATGCTAAAATTGTGTAAATGCATGTCTGCGGGGGTTAAACCGAATGAATAGGCAAACACGAATGGGCCAAAAACGAACAAAGTATACTTGACCGTGATGTGTAGTATATCTTTATACAGATAAAGAGATATTTGAATGTACAAGTATATTGCCGGACGCTTGCATATATCTGTCGATGTTTACCGACGATATTATCAGTTTGCAATTGACGTGTTAATAAATATATGTATAAATATATATATAAATTTCTGAAAAATGATAGATCAGATTATTTTTCCCTGAAAACTACACAGTGATGATTGGAAAAGCACGCGTTATATCATTAAGAAATATTG